ACTGTAAGGAGGAGACGGCGATGGCCTCCCTCAAGCGGCGAGAGCTGAGTGCCGGACAGGCCGCTCGCTCAAGCCGTCGGGCCCGCGGGGCCTGCGAGATCGGTCCTCCACGACCACCTCCTGGTCCACCTCTTCGTTCTCCCCCTGCTCTCGCTCCTCCTCGACCTCCTCGATAGCCTCTCTATCCCCGTCCTCCTCCGGCTCCTCCTCCGCCCCCCTCGCTTCTCCCGCCTCCTCCCCCTCCCATTGCATTCATCATCCTGCTCTTCCTGCTGCTGCCGCGCTGCTCCTCTACCTCTCCTTTCCTTCCCTACCCCCCTCCTGATCCCGCTCCTCCTCCTCCTCCTCCGCCTCCTCCTCCTCCTCTGCCTTCTCCTCCTCCTCCTCCTCCTCCTCCTCCTCCTCCTCCTCCTCTTCTGCCTTCTGCTCCTCCTCCTCCTCCTCCTCCTCCTCCTCCTCCTCCTCCTCCTCCTCCTCCCTCGTCGCCCTCGTGCTCCCCTGAGCGCTCCTGCTGCTGCCTTCCCGCTCCTCCCGCCGCCGTCGCTGTCTCTCCTCCCGCTTTCCGCCTGCCGACGATCTCGGTGGGGCCCACGATGTCCTCAAGGATGGCGTCGTGCACAGCGGTCAGCGTGCGGCTCCTGCGCATCAGACAATATTACGCGCCTGGTCCATACGAGCTCTGGGATGCCTCGGAAGCCTACGCCGCTCCATGCCGCATAGGGAACGGCGCGGTGTTAACGCCGCACCACCCCACTGAGCGGCGTTGCGCTGTGCCGCGGGGTGTCAGACAGTTTTGCGCCTTCCTCCTCCTCCTCCTCCTCCTCCTCCTCCTCCTCCTCCTCCTCCTCTTCGTCTCGTCCTCCTCCTCCTCTTTCTCATCTCATTGATGATGATGATGATCATCATCATCATCATCATCATCATCATCATCATCATCATCATCATCATCATCATCATCATCATCATCATCATCATCATCATCTATCATCATTCATCATCATCGTCATCATCAGCATCATACATCATCATCATCATCAGCAGCATCATCAGAACATCATCAGTATCAGCATCATCATCACCATCTCCATCATCATCAGCACCTCCTCATCATCAGCATATTCAGATCATCAGCATCAGCATCATCTCATCACATCATCATCATCATCATCATCATCAGCATCTCCATCATCATCATCACACCATCATTTCATCATCTATCATCATCTTCATCTCACCATCATCATCATCACCATCATCATCATCATCATCATCATCATCATCATCATCATCATCATCATCATCATCATCATCATCATCATACCACGACGGGGTCGAGCTCCAACGATCGGCTCGCATCGCCCCCCTTCCTCCCTCCCCCCCGTCAGCCTCTTCTCCCCTCTCTGCCCAGGCCGCCCGGGCCCTGGCTCGCCTCCCGGGTCTGCGGCCTTCGCCGAGTTCCTGTGGGACTGAGGAGGTCGACGCCGCCAGTGGATGCTGGCTCTGCTTACAAAAAAAAACCTGCAGTTAGGAACCTGTGCTTTAGCCTGTCGCGGCGGCGGCCCTGCGACACAACACATTGGAGGCCCGTCCACAAGAAACCTTCCACAAGAAACCTGAGACCCCAAGACGTCCATCGATGCTTCATGTGGGAACGTCGCGCTTTCCACGGCAAGACCATCGACGCCCAAGACGCCCAGGGCACCCTGGGGGCAAGCAGGCTGCTTCTTGGCATGGGCCTCCGCTGTAGCCTGTCGCGGCGGCGGCCCTGCGACACGCCACGCCCTGCAGCAAGCTGGTGGCGTGTCGCTCCGCTTCGCGGGACGGGAGGCCGGGAGCAGCTCGGGGCGCTGATGCCCGGGGGGCTGGGGCGCGCTCGGCGCGTCGCGCCAGAAGCGTGGTGGGCCAGAGCTGTTGGGCCAGAGCTGGCGTTGGGTCGGGCATGTCCTCCTCCAGGCGGATTTGAGAGGACAGGTGACACATACCCGAAACGTAATCAACCACACACTCCACAGTGGTGAAACAACATCAGTCCCCAGACGATCTCTTTTTTATACTAGTTTTGAACAAATGCCTCCTGTAGAGGGACAGGCCCGACTTAGAGCTGGCGTCGCGGTGCGCTTTGTAAACGTCCCTGATCGTACAGCCATCGTGCTGGCGCGAGGACTGCCAAAAATGAAGGGGCCCCAGGACATACAAATCCGCCGGTAGTTTCCAGTGTTACAGTTCTGCTTCTTGCTGGTTATTGTAACTAGTTGATTGACCGCGCGAGGGGGGGGAGGCCCAAACCGACATTTTAGCACCTCCTGGGCGCGTTGTCTGAACTGCTGGGGGGGCTCGAAATCGACACCCCTCACGCAGATCCGCGGGGTCAGGGTCCAAAAACACACGGGATTTGCCACATTTCTGAAATTCAGTGCCACCCCTCATGCAGATCCGCGGGGTCAGGGTCCAAAAACACACTGGATTTGCCGCATTTCTGAAATTCGGTGCCACCCCTCACGCAGATCCGCGGGGTCAGGGTCCAAAAACACATGGGATTTGCCACATTTCTGAAATTCGGTGCCACCCCTCACGCAGATCCGCGGGGTCAGGGTCCAAAAACACATGGGATTTGCCACATTTCTGAAATTCGGTGCCACCCCTCACGCAGATCCGCGGGGTCAGGGTCCAAAAACACAAGGGATTTGCCACATTTCTGAAATTCGGTGCCACCCCTCACGCAGATCCGCGGGGTCAGGGTCCAAAAACACATGGGATTTGCCACATTTCTGAAATTCGGTGCCACCCCTCACGCAGATCCGCGGGGTCAGGGTCCAAAAACACAGGGATTTGCAACATTTCTGAAATTCGGTGCCACCCCTCACGCAGATCCGCGGGGTCAGGGTCCAAAAACACATGGGATTTGCCACATTTCTGAAATTCGGTGCCACCCCTCACGCAGATCCGCGGGGTCAGGGTCCAAAAACACAGGGATTTGCCACATTTCTGAAATTCGGTGCCACCCTTCACGCACATCCATCGCAAGGCGTGGTAACCCAAACTGCGAGAACTCCCTCGGCCCTTTAATCGCAAGGTGTGGTAACCAAGCCCTTAAACCATACACGTCTTACCAATCGCCAGGTGTGGTAACCCCTCTTGTGATCAGTTGGTTTTGCTGATTGCGACTCGGCTTCGCATGAAGTTTCGATACTGCTTCACGACAGCGCCAAGGCCTCATGACTTAGCTCTTCCATAGCCCATTCTCCGACAGAGGGGGCCGGCGGCAGGGGGCGAAGCCCTTACGGATAAATACACACAAATAAAACTATTCCCCACATTTTCCCATATTTTCTCGGTTTTTGTCTTCCAATTCAATTCCCATATTTTCCTATATTTTCCTGGGAATCGACGATTCATTGTGTCTGTGTGTTTTCTCCGCTCCTGAAAAAAGAGGGGCCCCCCCAAAAGCCCTTCTGGCCACGGCGAGCCCCGGCCACGCACGGCGCCCCCCCCCTAAACCTAGAGCGCCGCGGAGCGGCTCGAAAAAAACAGGGGCCGCTCCCGAGCCAAAAACGTGGCCCTCCCTTCGGCGCCGTGGCCGTGGCCCCCCCTCTTCCCTCCTGCCTCCCTCGCTCCTCTCCCCCCCGAGGCCCACTCCTCCCTCTCGCTCCTCTCCCCCCCGAGGCCCCCTCCTCGCCTCTCCTGCCTCCATCTCACTCCTCTCTCCCCCGAGGCCCCCTCCTCGCCCCCCTCCGCCCCTCCCGCGCCTCCCTCGCTCCTCCCGCGGCGCCCCGCCGCCGCGCCGCCCAGGGGGGGGGGGACCCCGCGAGGAGGCCGCGCCGCGGCCCCCGAGAGCCCTCGGAGGGGGCCCCCCTGCCGCCGAAGAGGGCCCGCCGCCGACGCTCTCCCGAGGGCAAGCGAGAGAGCTGCCCTCGGGCGCGAGCGAGTCGGGCGGCCTCTCGCCTTGGGCGGGCGGGGGCCGCTGGCCCCTGGCGGGCGCCCCGCGGCGCCCCGAGCCCTCGGAGGGGGCCCCCTCTGCCGCCGAGGGGCCCGACGCCGACGCTCCCAGAGGGTGGCGAGAGAGCTGCCCGCGGGCGCGAGCGAGTCGGGCGGCCCCCCCGTCGGAGCGGGCGGGGGCCGCTGGCCACCCTGGCGGGTGCCCCGCGGCGCCGCGCCGCACCGGGAGGCGGGCCTGGCCATCGCTCGGACGTCCACTTCCTGTGTTTTTGCTCGGTTTCGGGCGTGGTTTTTTCGCCAGATGATCAGGGATACTCCTCGATGGTCCTCGCCGAAGGAAAAATGCACACGTCCGAGCGATGCCAAGGCACGGGAGGCGGACGGAGGGGACGGGGATGCGCGGCAAGGCCGCGCACGTGTTCAAGAGGCCCCTGCGCCGCAGAACCGTGCCATCTCTGGGGAGGCCGAGTGCCTCCTGCGCCCGCGGAGCCGCCCTCGATAACTGTTTCCGCTGGCCGTCCGCTGCCTCCCGCCGAGGAGAGGGCAACTCTGGCAATTCCTTTGACCCTCAAAAGCGAGCTCCTCTCTTGAGTGCCCCGACGTGTCCGACGCCTGGGGGGATCGGTGCCCACAGACCCCGGGAGGCGGTGGAGAACTGGGCATCACCTGGGCCCACGCGGGGCCCAAAGTGGTCCGCCCCGCCGCCCCTCCGGGCCCGGAGCGGAGAGGCATGGCACCGACCAGGAGTTCTTGGGACCGAGCACTTCCTTTGAACGAGATGTTGTTGGTCGGTCCGGCAAAACTGCTGGACAAAGATGATTGTGTTAGGTCGGGCATGTCCCCCGACAGGCGGAGTTTGGACGAAACGTGGAACATACGCAGAAAATTGCTGGACACAGTGAAACAATAATCGAAACACCGTCCCCTGACGATGTTATGTTTTTTGTTTTTGATATTTCTCCTGTAGAGGGACATGCCCGACTTAATTCTTGTTCGCGAAGAGAACGCAACAACATTGCACTTCCTTTGAACAAGCATGTTTCTTGGGCCCGAACATGCTTTTTCGGTCCCGACATGCATGTAGAGCAAACATTCTTGGTCGCATAGAGAACGCGCAAAAGTGGCACAGACCCAAACCGTCGTGGGCCCGCGCAGACGCATCAACGCGGACCCCTCCCCCTGCAGGCGGCAGGGGGGGCAGAGGCCCGGTGCTCGGGGTTGCTATACACAGGTGCCCCTGGCCCAGGGAACCCTCCAGCTCTTCCCTCCACTCCTCCATTCCTCCCCCATTCCTCCTCCTCCTCCTCCTCCTCCTCCTCCTCCTCCTCCTCCTCCTCCTCCTCCCCCTCCTCCTCCTCCTCCTCCTCCTCCTCCTCCTCCTCTCACCTCCTCCCTCCTCCTCCTCCTCCTCCTCCTCCTCCTCATCCTCCTCCTCCTCCTTCCCCCTCCTCCTCTCCTCCTCCTCCTCCTCCTCCTCCTCCTCCTCTCCTCACCTCCTCCTCCTTCCTCCTTCCTCCTCCTCCTCCTCCTCCTCCCCTCCTCCTCCTCTCTCCTCCTCCTCCTCCTCCTCCTCCTTCCTCCTCATCCTCTCCTCCTCCTCTCCTCCTCCTCCTCCTCCTCCTCCTCCTCCTCCTCCTCCTCCTCCTCCTCCTCCTCCTGCTTGGAGCCCATGGGGCTCCCTGGGCCTCGTGAGGGGTGCTCTGGAGGCCGTGGGGGCCTCCCGGGAAATCCTGGGGGGCACCCTGGGCCAAGGGGCACCCTCTGGCAGCACCCGAAGTGCTGACCCGAGGCAACACCGCGCAGGCCTCCGACAGTTCCCGGAGCAGCGCTTGTGCGCGTTCGCCGCGGGGGGGCACGCCGCCGCTTGGTCGCAGCCTCGCGCACTCTGCTGACGGTTCCAGGATTATCTCGCCCGGTGGGTGCACCGGCCGCCGCCTCGGCGCCACCTCGTACGCTGGCATGCGCCTCGGCGTGCAGGCGTACATCCGATCACACAGGTCGCCTCGCACAGATCGCATCCCAACTTCAATAGTTCGCTGCTGCACGCAGAACTTGCGCCGTCGATGTTGTTCCACATGGTTTGCACAACGAGTAATGTACGACATACATTGTACCGCACCCCAAAGCTAGCACCAAATACCTCGGAACATATCAAATGCACAAAACAGCTTACACAGCACACAGGCCACGCGACATACTGAAGTCTTTACATAAACTATAACGCGTAGCTTGCACCAAATAGTTTGCACAACGTAGCTTGGACTCCAAAAAGATTGCACCGCAAAGATTGCACCCCACACCTTTCACCACGTGGCTTGCACTACATAGTTTGCACAACGCGGAATGAACAGCACAGACGGCAACACACAAACGGCACCACAGAGCTTGCACCCAATAGATTACAGCACGCACTGTGTACATCGGGGGTGCAAGAACCGACCGCGTGGCGTGCATGCTGGCGAACACGCTCCCCTGACAAGGCTTGTGCTTAGGGGTTGTTACTTCCCCTTTGCGGAACTGGGCCTGTTTGCCGCTCCGGCGGCTAAGTTGTCGCCGTCGCCGCCCTGTCGCCGCCTTGTCGCCGCCCGTCGTCTGGGCCTGTCTGCCGTTCTGGCGGCTATGATGTCGCAGTCGCCACCCCGTGGCAGTCTCGAAGCCACCCGTTGTCCAGGCCTGCCTGAAGCTGTGGCGGCGCTGTCGTCGCCGTCGCCGCACCCTCCCCGCTGGTCGCCGCAATGCGGGCCGCTCTCGCGCGTCGGCCGCGCGAGCATGTCGAACTCTTTCCCAAGCCTTCATCACCGACGCGAAGACGCTGTCATCGTCGTCGGCGTGATCAGCATCGGCGCCGTCACTGGTCGCGCCGTCGTTGTTGCCAGCATCGTCACCAGCATCGCTATGACCATCATCATGTATACCGTTGTCGACGTTGCCATGATACCGTGCCCGCCCAAGTCGCCGACTCGCAGTGAAGTTCCCGCTGGGATGTGCCCAGCGGTCAGCAGCGCCACCGCGGCCGCGTCAGTCGCGCCAAACTAGCTGGCCGCTACGCGCGCGTGCTTGGGTTGGCGCGGCCGCAGAGATGGACCAACCAACGTCAAGTACTCATTGCAATCGCAACCGCGTGCGGTTTGCAAACCAAGTTGAGGGTGGGTGGGTGGGATGATTGCGCGAGCAGTGGAGGTGGTCAAGCGCTGTGCAGGGTAGGCACTAGCACCGCGATTGACCACCCCAAATGGAATGGGTCGCAGGGTCCCTCGGGCCTCCCCCCCACCCCCGATGGGATGGGGCGGGGCGCCGACGACGAAGACGACGAAGACACCGAAGAGGGGATAGGGAGAAGGCCAGATCAGCAATCACGGAAACAACCTAACAACAAAATAATACATGGCATTAGTTTCGCCTCATTACACCAATGCAAAAAGAAGGCAAGTGCTCGCCGTGCCGGGAACCGAATCCTTCCGCCCCGGCGTCTAACCTGCGGGCACAATTACGGCTGTTATGCACGATTACAGATTGGCACTTCCCCGCCGTCTAGTCTTAGGACGGCGATGCATGTGCCGATGCCGATGCCGATGCCGACGCTGATGTTGTCATCATCATCGCACATCCCGAGGCACCAGAGGCAATCCACGAGTCACAATAAGAATAACATTGCATCAGCAAGTCTACCTCTGACGGTGCAGAGGGCAAAGGGAGAAAATTACACAACCCTGTTTGGTTGGTCTTCCTCAAGGTGCCTCTTGAGGGCTAGTTGTTTTGCTTCTTCGGCTTTATCTGTAACTGCTGAGTCAAAACCCTCAACAGAGAGACCGAAAGAGGCAGCAACGTGTTCCTTCTCCCACCACTCCCCCAACACCGCCACATTAGGAACTGAGAAATCAGCTGTGGGCTTACGCAAGCATAGCACAGACGCTTTGGGAACAAGCATCGCTGCAATCGCCTGCGGAGTTGGGGCCCTCCAAGCCCCCACAGTCCAACCACTGTATTGGCGAGACCCGCAGGGAAATTGTAATTTACGGGCACGGTTGCGCGGTCTGCGCAGCGTCTCGGAGGGTGGCGACACGCTGCATGGTTTGGCAAGTCTCAGAACGGCCTCCCAGACATACCCGCCACAAGCAGCACAAACAAGAACCGTGGGGCTCTTAGGCGGAGCGGGCGGCAGCCCAGAGGTAAGAAAAACCTCAGCTTGTCTAAGCGCATGTCCTTGCAACGCTGCAAGGATGCATAACTCTTCTGACACTTCAGGGGCGACAATGGGCCTGCCTTTGCAACGCTTAGTCGAATTCCCTGGAGGCCTGCTAGAGAGGGGAGACCCACCCGCCTCCCCAGAGGTCGACCGAGGAGGGAGGGGGAGGGCATCGTAGTCTTCGCGCTCGGCTATCAAAACCTCTTGGATAGCAGCCCAGCGCGCAAATTCTTTGACAATATCTGTCAGGGCAGCAAGAGCATGCATACAGTCAGACGTGTCAGGATGCTGGCTAACTCCACGCCCCGCGTACACATCTGCAGCACGATTACCATTCCACTCATACTCAGAGATGCGCCCCTCGGCAACAGCTGAGAAGGGAAGGTGGGCTTTGACCTTCACTGCACTGATGGATGGCAGCTTCCTGTGGATTTCTTCCCACAGATGGCATCGAGAATACCGAACAGAAGCTGCCCAAATCTTGTCACTGACAGCATCAATGGTGCCCTGGCAGTCAATGTGAAAAACCGTTTCTCCTACGACCAATCCACGAGCTCCCTGCAAGACAGCAAGATCCACCCCATCACGCGCGGTCTGAAAAGGTCCTAGATCCCAAGATACCGCGCCACAGACTGCTGCTGACAGAGAGCCGTCATCGTTGAGCTGAGTGAAAGCCCAACCCGCTCTGCGGGAGAGGGGGCAGGCGGGGTGAAGGCCAGACCCGTCAGTGAAAACATTGCCTGACAGGTGTCCTGAGTCAGGCCGGTTTACCCAAGCAATATTGCGCTCACTATCCCACAGTGGCCGATGTACAACCTCTATGGGCATAGGGAAAATACCACAAGCCGCCTTCTCAAGATCCTGCCCCGACAACTGCAACACAGACGCACAGCGGAGCAGTCGTGGGCTACAGTACTTACCTCGGTCGGCGGCCCAATGTGGGCAAAGGAAACGTCTGTGCCAAAGTGTGCCAGGTCTGCTCTTACAAGCCTGGCAAAGATCAGTGTCAGATTTCTTGTGGCGCGCTTGGTTGGCTTGGCACCAGTGTTGCTGAGAAATCAAAGAGCGCAAACTAGACTGGTGCCTAGCCGTCCAGGATTCCGACAGACGGCCCTCCAAGAGCCCAGCCAACGGCTTCCAGAAAATCGGGCGGGTCCAGCCTGGCGACTCTTCCATATTGCTAAGCGCAGCCACATCAGAAACATTACGAGCAGCTCGACGGGCCATCCAAACAACCCGCTTGGGAGCAAAATTAGTGAGACAGATTTCTTCCCCAGTGTCAATGATGGCACGGTCGGCCGAGGGGGCGCTCCACCCAAGCTGTTGGACAGACAACAGATATACGTGAGCAGGGCTAGCCGCCGAGGCCCACAAGTTGGAAGTCCGTTCCAAATCTCGAGCTGCCGAAACCAATGCAGCCTGCAAAATTCCTAAGGCTGGCCTACCTATCCAAACCGCACGCGCCCAGAAGCCGATGACCTGGGAGTGGTAAGTGCAGAAGGGGTCCATGACGCGGCCGAGCTTAGTCGTGGCCAACTTGAGGCCAACCGAGGCGCCCTTTTTATCCACATGCAAGCTGGTAACAGCAGCTCTACGAAGCAGGTGTAGTTGCCTCCCACTTAGTCCAGACACTCCAGAGCCCCATACGGCCGTTGCCTGTGGTCCCGCACGCTGGGTGGATCCGATTTTAGCCCCTGCATGCTTCAACTTCAACATTTTGAAGGACCTCCGAAGACCTTTTAAAAACCGATTCCCTGTCGTGTGAAGCACTCGTCTTTTAGCATCATGGGAGTCCGTGCCAAGGGAACGCGTGTGCGTTTTCCTCGCGAAGCCGAATTCCTTCCACTCCTGATTCAGAGCGTCCGCCAACTCGGGGTTGGAGGCAACGAAGTGAGTCTTGCTGGCCGCCAACGCCAGCTCCAAACGCCTGTACCCAGAGGCAAGAAGGCGTCCAGCGCCTCCTAGTTGTGCAGCGACAAAGCGAGACGAGCCTAGGCACTCTGCACGTACATCACCGACTACATTCCTGACTAACACAGCTGGGAACTTATCTGCTATAGAGACCATGAGCCTGTAAAGTAGGACCTTGACTAGGGAGGTAGCCAGGGGACATCCAGCCAGAACCGTTCCGTTAGCTTTAAACACCGAAGAGATAGCATCCATGAAAGTGAGGCACCTGGGCCCCGAATACAAGCTACAGGCCACGTAAATAAGCTTGAGGTTGATATCAACTGCTACAGCTTCTTCGAATAGCCGATAGTGCGAAATGCGTTCGTAGAATTTCGAAAGGTCAGTGAAGAGCGTGCCCGAGTCGAAGCCGATTGTCTTAGCATAATGTGACATGATATCATGCTCCCAACCTGCTGTGTCACACTCCTTAGTAGAGCAGCCCCAAACGCAGATATCTGGTGAGATTGTTCCCAAGACCTGGCCAGGCTCTGACGTAGGCGGGCCCAAGTACGCCCGAGGGAAATGATCAGAGCCAGAGGTCTGAGGTCAGAGGATTCGGGCTTATCCGTGAACACGATCATGGCCGGCCATTTATCCGAAAGGTGAGGCTTCTCTTCCCAGAGGATCAGGATATCCAAGAGTCGATTCCGAAAATCGTCACTCAAAAGAAGCCATGACCTCGGATTGATGCAATCAATACCAAGGCCGACGTTATGCCGAAAGCGTGTTAGGGCTGCACCTAACACGTCGAGGCTAGGCTGAGGGAGCGCA